ATAAATAGTAGATGCATGGAAAAATGAAAAGAAAGACTAAGACACACATTTCTAGTTTGTTCACTGGCTCTATTTGCTTATCAAGTTAACAACGGATGATTCACCTTTTAGCCAGATAAACACGGACTCAAAAACTCTTATTATTATTCTAGTCGGCTTCATAACAGTCTCAGTTTGCCGGACATATCCACAAAACAGAGACTCAAAGTCTAAAAACCGAACTGCATGATATAACAGAACCGCCGAAACACAACTTGCGAGTCAGTTCGGTAAAGTAGTTGGCGATTCAACCAAGTTGACCCAGGTACAAGAAAACTCTGTCAATAATACATATTGTTCTTCCACTATATAAAAAATTGTTATTCTAGAAAAGGGCACCACTAGCGAGGTTGATAGGATTCGGGCTTGGCGCGGTATACAGCTATTTCAAAAAACGTTGTCGGGGAGAACGGCGAACGGCGATTGTCGAAGGGAGATTGCACGACCGAAAGGGACTATGGTTACACTGTTTTAATAAACAAAATTTCACTTATTGGAATCACCTTGCATAGAAATGGAGACTAAATGGAGCCAATGTTTACCACAGACCATCTTACAGTACAAATCAGWTGTTATTGCMTTTCAACTAGMARAACCCATGRCTACTTTCGGTCGTGCAATCGCCATTCGACAATTGACATTCGCCATTTTATCCGACAACCTTTTTTGAAATAGCTATATGTCGGTTAGGCGAAGATCACATGCAGTATTGGCGATCGGGATCACTGTTACAAAAGGGTGGATCACTTGTTTTGATCAGGGATCAAAATATGGCGAATTTTAGGATCAGCGATCAATAGCATTGAAGATGTCTGGTTTTCAATAATTTCGACGTGTTTGCAGCCAGTATAAAATGTTGCGAATTGACTGAAAGATTGATCTGTGGCACCATGATAGTTAATACAATTTTATTTATTTTTTTTACCGCGCATTTTTTACATATCCCTGAATTGCACATAWATGGTAAATTCAAATTGGACGAATGATCGCTTGCAAAAGCTTTTAAGAAAGGATAATGAAATTTGCAAAGTTGTAGAAATCGTATAATCACTGATAAAAGAAGCCGAAAGACAGTGCAAATTAACASRCGCGCGGTAATAACTCCCATAATTGCCTTCACATTCTAACCGAGGATAACTAGAGTTGCTATGAAACATACTTCATCAAGGGTATTTCATAKTTTAACATGGCTCAATATTTCTGAAAGAWTTCTTCCCATAATCCCTTTCAGTCCAGTAGAGGAGGGCGTGGTCGAGTTTGTCCATATAACTGTTGGCTTTATACACAAACGCTTCAGTTTTTAGATGATGTACAGGTAGTCAAAAAAATCCAGGTAGTGACACCTACCTGACAAAAAGAATGCCATAGAAAAGAAAATACATTTTTTTTGTAAATAWGTTTGCCCRATTCACGCAATGGTCGCACATGCATGACGTACAATAGCTCCAGGGTATAAATTCTTAATGGGTGCAGTCTGTATAAATTATTTCACKTGGCGACGAAAAAGGCTTCGTTGGAAAGGTAAACGGTTACTCACAGAGCGAAAGTGASGAGTTTTTGTACWGGAAGCACTAAAATAATCCCTTGAAGATAAATAACGTTTTCTTCATAGATCCTTCATAATATCTCGCTAGAAGCACAGAAAGTAATTGCCTWCTCTTCGTGTGGGCATCTATTTCCTTATTTTTATTGTTCCGAATGGGTTTTKAGSGCCATTAATACATCAAAGAAATAACCGRCCCACTTATACGYCTAACCTGAATTCATTATGCGCCACGCCCATATCACTCAATCTTTCTCATTTCTATTCCAGGTCGCTTTGTAAAACCATAACGGAGAGGAAACAAGCTTGTTGGACACCAACTGTGACATCATAGCCCAACCATGTCTAACAGCCCAGTTACCATGACAATCACCTACGTCGCCCTTGGTTTTCTCGCATTTTTCATCATCATAACAAACTTGTTTGTCATGTTCTTGATATACAACCGAAGATCGTTGAGGACTCCAACGAACCTTTGCCTTGCTTCACTGGCTGCCTCGGACTTCATGGCGGGAAGTATCGCTATACCACTAATCATAATGTGYAATGTCTCGCCACTTGATGGTTTGCGTCAAGCAATGGACTTTAGCTCAAGATTTATTTCAATCTCTACTGTGATACACCTACTCATCGTGACAATCGAGCGTTACATCATGATATGTCACGGCATGAAGTATAACTTATGGATCAATACCAAGCGGGTTGTCACGGTTCTCGTAGCCACGTGGTTGTTCTCGGCTGTGGCGACTTTGATTCAACTATTCTGGAAGCTAACGCAGACAGAGGAACAAATCCTCAAGGTGGACAGAATTTACGATACGGTGTGCTTATGTTGCGTAGTAATCATTCCGTTAATCATCATGGCAGCTAGTTACGTACGTATCTTTATTGCGTTGCGGTATCAGCTTCAGCAGATTCAAAGATACAACAACCCAACGGAAAAGAGTAACGAGTTGCGTAGACGCCACGTTGAACGCAAAGCAGCTATAATCTTCGGCTGCATGATTATAACGTTTACGCTGTGCTGGTTTTCGTACTTCATTGATGGGTTGAACATCTTTACGTATTCATTTGAAGTCAGTCTCGTGCTGATGTTTTTGCGTTACGTTTCGCCGTTCATAAACCCTCTTCTGTATACGTTTCTAAAGGAGGACTTCAAACTCGCAGTTAAAATGTCACTTTGTCAAAGGTTTCGTGAAGCTTCTACGAATTCCTATTTGTACCAGTCGCATTTTGCACCAAGTAATAGCGAAAGCGCTGTGTAATCACTGAATCAAACGTTCCGAACTCAAATGACAGCGTTTGCATCCGCTTTCTTAATGAATTGAAGTCGTGAATTCGCCCTAAGGAAAAAATCCAGGATCTTGACTAGGTAGAATGACTTCCTTTCTCATTAACATCGCTTTTGCAGTGAAGTTGAATTTTTAAGTTTCTCTTGTTTGTCTTTCTGTCTGTCCGGTCGCTGTTTTCATTGCTCGCGACACAAGAAATGGCGCGAGTATACTGTTTGTTACGAAGTTGTCCACAAGTTAGCATTTTGTGTACATATTTTAATTTTTGTTTCCTTTTTTGCATTTCCATGGTAATCATTTTTGTCTGCTTCGGTTTTTTCTCTAGTTGTCTTACTCGTTTGCTTATGTTTTGTCTGTCTGTCAAGTTGTTTCTTATTGCGCATGCTCATATATGATTTCCAAGCCTATCCCACATGGCTTAGTGTAAATTGTCGTCTTTGCCAAACTGTTTATTACATTTTTACAATCTTGTTCGTTTTTGTTCAACGTTCCTGTTTCTCTAATGTTTTAGATATATTTACGAGTATTTCTTTAAGCGTTTCGCAAAAGAAAAGCCAAACAGGATTATGAGACCAAGGCACCTTAAGTTGTACAATAYACATAATATATTGGGTATTAAAATGTTAAAATGTTGATGAATTTACACTATAAATTAGAAATATAACTAAAAACGACTAGAAAAGATTGTTGGAATGCTCCACTAACCGAGGCCAGGCATTGTGTAGGCCAAGTCGTCAAGAATATCAACCTAAAAATAAAAAAATACACATCAAATCATCTCAAAAACAACGACAACTTTGAACTATTACTCTTCGAAAAGTTGCCTTATTCCGTGACTTCATAGAATCTTTCTGTACCTTTTTGAAAAGCGATGAAAGAAGAGACATTGAAAATCAAMAATCGAAAGAAGAAATGCCAGTATATCAAACTATTTATTCAGTGTAGCAGAAAAATTTAAATTAAAAAATAATATCATTTATACATTCTCAAGTTGTTGTTATAAAATAAACCTTATACAAATTTTTACATATCGTATTTACAGAAACATATAAGATATTCCAGTAACATTTATATATAGCTGTCACAATTGAACGTTTTCAACCATTCCCATAAGATTCAAAAGATAAAAGACTGGCGGCCATCTTAGAGGTATGAACAATAGTTTCCAATGAGAAATCTTTTGTTGAAGGTCATCCAAGATGGCCGCTGCGACGTATAGTAAAAACAAAGAATTTATGACTGCCATCTTATTAAACATTTCACTCTACATTTGTACATTTGAGGTGTGAAAATCATTAAATTCTGAAGATGGAATACAAATCACATACCTGYTTTTCCTTGGCAACACCAGGAATTCCTGGAATATGTGATGTCAGAAAAGTCAGGGGACATATTGCACACAAAATAGAGTCTAGAAGCACTGATAACGACCCATGAACCTCTGTCCCTCGCTAAAAACAAGAAATTCCCATTAAGAAAAATCTACTTCCTTTCATTCATTGATATACATGAACATCAATATATTTTGCATTATATTCCAGTATAGAATTGTGTTCAGATGTACCTGAGCCATGAGGCTAGCTCCTATAAGACCTAAAGATTCCCCAAGAAGTTTCAGRTGGGCAGCCATATCCACAACATCTGGKCCTGACTTTTTCAATTCATTTCTGTTGTCCTCATTAAACTTGGCTTTGATAATGCTTGCTTTATCTCTCCATTTCTGTTTAAGTAAAGTCTCTGTTAGAAACACAGAAGAACAAGAACAACAAGAACAAGAACAACAACAACAACAACAATGTTAACCTGCTTTTCTTCATCTGGAAGATTGTTCCATGTTTCTCCAACTTTTTGACTTATCTGAGGAAAGTCTGTGAAAAAGAATAAAATACTATTGCAACCTTATCTGAGCAATATCACTGCATAATCTTAGCTAAATAGTATAAATTTTTGGCTATGCCTGATATCTTTATAAGTTTAACACTGAACCCTTTGTATTTTTTTTTTTTTTTTCGTTATTCCCTGGTACAGTAAAATACTTGTTGCTTTGAGTGAAAAGCAATTTCTTACCTAATTCAGGGTTAGCCTCTGCAATCTGAGATCTTTTGCTCTTGCAAAACAGAAGATATCCTGTGACAGCCTTCTTTTTCTATAAAAATAAATGTCAAAACATCAATTCAAACAGATGTACACATGTACAGTACATGCATGTAAAAATTGTGCTCAGAAACATCCAGTCTACCTCTTTGTCATTGGGACTTTTTCCAGGAGTTCCACCAGCTTTGCTCTTCTTCTTTGGTGAACTTTTAGGCTTTTTTTGTTCAGTTTCTTTGCTAACAACTTTAGTTTCCTTTGCTTTAGGTTTTGGTTCCTTTGGTTGTGTTTTACTTTGAAGTTTTTCTTTGCTTTCCATTTCTACAACCTTGACTTCTTTCTTGCTTTTTTTGATAATAACCTTAACATGTTCTTGYTCATTGGAAGGAATCAAAGGAGTAGCTGCATCATGGCTGTGTTTCTTAGCCTTTTTCTTTTTAACCTCAGGTTCTTTGACAGTTTTTCYAGCATTTGGTGGTGTAAATGGTGACTCTGTATCAACTTCAACATCTGGTTTGCTGGTTGAAAGTCCTTTGAACTTGATTGACACCTTCTTCTGTTTTTCTTCACCAGATGAACTGACATCCATTGGCAATTTTCTCTTCTTGGCTTTTCCATCACTTGATGAGGTTTCTGTTTTAYTATCTGATGAGTGATGTTTGTGTTTATGTTTCTTGTGAGAGTGTGGGTGACTTGAGGTTTCTGTGTGAGGAAGATGGAGTTTTAGTATAATGTGTTTGTMTTTATCCTCAGTCTCAGAATGAGGTCTGTCGTGTTTTGTTTTTGCATGTTTTGAATGTGTTTTTTTACTATGTTGGTTGGACGAGTGCTTTGAAGATGCCTTTTCTAAAGGACTTTCCACTTTACCACCTAAAGATTCCAGTTTATCTATTTTTCTCTTTGACTTCTTTTTAACTTTTGTATTATCAATTTTTAAAACTGAGCTGYCTTCAATATCAAGCTTGTCTTTGGTCACTGCCATATCTTTACTTGTGCTCTTTTTGCTTTTCTCTTTCCCATCTTTCTTCTTTTCCTTTTGTTCAATTTTTACTCCTATGACATCWACAATAGAAGTCTCARCATCGTCCACCATTTCAGCATCAGGTTTAACTTTCTTGGATTTCTTTTTAGTTTTTTTGCCACTGCYGTCAAGTTTTAGACTTTCTTTCTTCCTCCAGTCTTCTGAAGCTGATGGYGTTTGAATTTCTCCAGTATTTGCAAATATACTAATCGTACTTTGACTATGAAMGCCYGGTTTGATGCTATGCTTCTTGCCCAACTTTGCAGCACTCTTTGRGGTTATGCTCACGTCAGATATAACATCAACTGTAGGTTCCTCATCCAAGCTGTCTTTGTTGGCATCAAATGATGTATCTTCTATCAAAGCAAAGGTTTTCTTAGGTTTTGGTGTTCTCGATGAATGTCTAACTTTAGATGATTCATCAGTAGCTGTAGKTGATTGATTCCCAACTAAGAAACTTGTACTTTCTTGCACAYGACTCTCGGAATAATAACTTAAGTTTTTGCTGCCTGTTTTTTTACTCTTTGAATTCCCTTTTAGCTCAATATTYCCCTTATTRYTTGCAGGACTAAAAACCARCTTCTTCTGAGAAATCTTACTTWTTTCTTTWTTCTCAGCTTTCTTCTTGTGTGAACTATGTTGTTTGGCATGATCATCCTCGYTTTTTGTTGCTATTTCTTTTGCAGCTGACTTAGAATCAAGTTTATTTCTTGGAGAATCTATAAAATCTTCATTAAATACTTTAGGTTTTGGAGGACGCGATGACTTTCGTCTGCTGGAATCACTGTCAAGAATTGCAGTGTTGGATAAAGAATAAACTTGACTATCTGACTGTTCTKCGGGTGAGAGAGCCCTTTCCTTCTGTAAACGGGGTTCRTTATCATCTAAAGATGAGCGGAATGTATCCAAGTACTCGTCGTCAAAGAGCTTTGGTTTTGGCGCTCTTGAAGATCTTCTTACAGACGACTCTTCTTGTTCGGCATGTTCTTCAATCTTTGAGCGTTTTGGCTGAAAATATTCATTTGCTGGCGAATACTGGCTTTGTGCATCGCTGCGTTTAGATGGTCGTTTATGAGACATCAGAGCTTCTTTGTAGAGAAAAATATAGCAGAATGTTTGATCTTTTAGAGAGTCATTTGTTAAACAAGATGGCGGCGTTTTCACTAAACAGGAATCCCGGTAACTTCGAAATACAAAATTTGGATTCTTTTAGAAAATAAAGCATGAAAAACATTTCATTTCGTTTGATTTAAAAGATCTTTTATCAACTATATTCAACTGGAGTATTTTCGAACAGTTTTAGTGGAGCTTATCTCCTTATCTGCCCGAAATCTGAGGAGCCACCGCTGTTTTTGAGAAGCGGTCGAGTTCCGAAAAGCACAGGCAACCCAGCGTTTTACTCCTCGTGCTTGACAACAACATGGCAAGTCATTCAGATTTCTCGAGTAAGTAACTTAAATCTTACTTAAATTTGGCCATTTCTATTACTGAAATATGCTTTTTGGTTTGATAAGGCTTAATAGGAAGACTTACCAACACAAATACTAACGATCAAAGAATTGGATGCAAGAAATGTGGCTATCGTAAGTTTGGATTGAATATTGATTGTTTTATTTAATTTTGCTTAAAACATTTAGCTTAAATTCGACACATTAAATCCTCTTCAAGAGAAAATACATAACATTGTTGACAGTATAGCAAATATACTTGTTGTAGCTACAGTTTAGTCGTAATTACTCCAAATGATGTCTTTATAATGATGATGATGATTTTTGTGGTTTTTAGCTGGTCACCTGACTTTTCAATGCCGTAACTTCATTCAAACTGACCCCCAGAAAGATGTCATAGTTGATGTTAGCAGTACATCAAGCGAAGACAGTGATAAGGAGGTGTCCGTGTCTTCAACATCTTCACTTACTTCAAGTTCAGAAGGTATATATAGCAAAAATGATTGTGATCGGATGRTGATGATGTCATGATGATGRTCCTAATCATAGGCTGCCCAACTATTGCTTGTGAGAAAAAAAAAGAATGAATGGCCCGCAATAGTTGGGCAGCCTATGTCCTAGTCACTAATATTGACTAGTATACTACTTAAACCATTACCTTATATAGCACCTATTGCTACTGCCAAAATCCTTCATGACTACAAAGTCACTTGATTTATCAGTTGTGAATAGCACTATCTACYAGATAAATCCTTATCCAGTAGATAAAATCCAAACAAAATCTAAGGGACTGATAACTTTAACCTGTGGTTAACTTTATCCAGCCTTAGTACAATCAAACAATGTTCTCTAAATATTTGACTTATATTCAAAGATGAAAAAGTGAAGGCTCGCTTAAAGAAGAAAAAGAAAGAAAGAACAAACAAAAGAAATCAAAGATTAGAAAGGTAGTTGCTGTCTTGGTTGTGTAATAATTGATTGGTACATGTAAGAAATATATATATAAATATATTATTTTAGTCTGAACAAACATCTTAATCTCACTCATTATAACAAAAATCTATCAGGAGGGGWGACAGCTCAGATAGTCTTGAAAGAGCTCTACGACAAAGAGATGTACCAAGACAACACGCTCCTTCCCAGTCTCCTCCACAAAAACGGTAATCATACTATAGAAATGGGGTTCCTGTGTATTTCAGAGGCTTAACRTCTTMTTTTTTTCCTTTAGATCAAAAAAGTATGATACAAACTCTGATGGTAAGTATGGTTATTATTTTGGACAAGTGTTGTTATATTGGGCTTCCTGTGTCTTTACCCAGGACGCCCAACAACCTATTCAAATCCCTTCAACTTTTTTTTCTTTCTAGAATCTGATTCAGAGAGTGATGACAAAAGTAAAAGAAAGCACAGACCAAAATACAAGCRAAGAAAACACTCAAAAAAGTAAGTTAGTTTTGGCTTTAATTGTCTTCAACGGCATATTTTTCTCTTGTTCTTTATCTGTATTTTTTCCTATTTTCAACAGATCAAGGAAATATGACTCAGATTCAAAAGGTAAAAAAATAAATCTTATTCACTCATAGCCACTTTTTTGTCTACATTAGACTTATTTAGCTTTGGAAAATCAAAATTCAGACATTTGAGTTTAAATTTCAAGTTTTGACATCTAAATATTACCCCAAACTTCAYATCATAGTGCATGAATAAAGGTTGTTTTGTTTATAGATTCTGATCATGACAGTGACAGTGAAGAGGAAAGATCACAGAAATCAAAGCAGAGGCACAGTAAACCCAAACACAAAAGGTAAAGAAAGAAAGAAAGGGAGAAAGAAAGAGAGAAAGGGAGAAAGAAAGAAAGAAAGAAATGACATTCATGTGATGATCCAGTTCAATAATTTAAATTTAACTCATGCCTTTGAAACGCTACTGCCAGTTTTACGTGAGAGAAAGAAAATTCCTTTTAACAGCCATGCATTGAATTGGTATGAATTAATAAAACCTTTGAAACAGTATAAAAAGATTAGCCCACCATGACCAAGACTGCCCCCCTTCCCCTGCCATTTGTATGTTGCCATAAAATAATGTTTTGTGTTGCTCTTTGCAGAAAGCACAAAAAAGAAAAATCAAAAAAGAAGAAAACTAAAAGAAAATCAAAGAAAGGAGAGTCTGATTGACAGCAWGACACAAGAGGAATAAAAGTTCTGCATGTCAAAACCAAGTAATCAAGTTTGGATAATTATGAGGAGTGAGCACTGCATCAGCAACAAACAAAAAAGACAGACAGAAATGCCTCAAAACAATACAATATTAATTAATAATAGTCTAATAAACTCTATCCAAACACATATTTTTACTTATTTATTTCCAATATCTGATTTTATTGTCCAAAGTTTTATTCTGAATTTTTACTCATTGTATTTTAGTGCATTCTTGGAAAACATTGAAAATCACTCCCATTTGTTTATTATTTTTTTACGTAATGACAAACTGTAAAAATAATTACCTTTTTTGAAGAGGAATTGAAAAGATAATAAATTTGTAAAAGCTTTTGTGAGATGGAGGACATAAAACTTTTTATAAATACATGTAGATAAATACTGACAAAAGTATCTTAGCTTAGTTTATGATAACATTTTGTTACTGRAGGAAAACTGAATTTGGTTTTAGTACAAATTGGACTGTAGCAATACATGGCCTTATCTTCTTATTCTCATGCCAACCAGAAGAAATTTAGTGGCTGTTTGGACAAAGTAACTCTAAAAAATATATACCATGATAATAGTTGGCATGTCATTATAAGAATGGCCTTTTTTTGATAAACATGAATATTTGCTACATATAACACTATAATAGTAGCATGCATTAGTCAATTATAATTTTTTTTTCAAAACTGAAAACATATTTTAGCCAAAGCTAGTACATGCGAGTAAATTATATTCCCTGACTTAAAAATATGTTCTTGTTGTACTTTCTAAATATTTTCCAAAACATTTCATACTTCAGTACTGGATTTAAATTATTCAAGTGCATTCCTGTCTAATGACAGACATTATCGGAGGTCAATTAGCATAGATGCTGGGTTTTCAAGATAAGACTTCCACAGGTTTGAAAACCTAGCCATAGTTGCTCCTTCGATAATTCTGTGATCTGCTGACCAACTTACGTTGACTATGTGAGATYTTTTTACATTGTCATTTTTATCAAATCGAGGAAGTACCTGTTGAAAGAGTAAAAGATTACAACATAATGTAATGACTTTTTTTCGAAGATTTTGACTGATTTGATACCTGTATTTTTCCTATTGCACCAATAGCAACATTTGGAGGTAAGACAACTGGTTTTGCATARGTGCCACCAATCTGAAAGTTAATAAGTTTTCTTAATGAAAAATTTCAACAAACATTTGCCCAAAGTAAAGAGAAATATTGTAGATAAATGAAAGGAGATTTAAACAGCTCTGATAAAATGACAAATTCTACACCATAAAGAAGTGAAAAACCTCTTRACATTTTTGAAAAGTTCTTTGTCTTTTACTCTGAAGGCCTTGCATAAAAAAACTGGTTTTCAAACGTTTATTTTGTGTAAATAAGCACTTTGTCAAAGCTGTTTTGAACACTAGAAGCAGGCACAGCTTACACTACTATAATACCAGAGAGTTGTTTTCTCTTTAACATGAAAATGAAGGAAACTGAAGCCCTTCTGTTAATCAAAATAACAAGGTATTTAGCAGTTACTTACGGATCCAATATTTGAGAGAGAAAATGTACTACCAGAAAGGTCCTCAGGACTCAACTGCCCAGCAAGCCCAACATGATGTAGTCTGTTCAGTTCAACAGCTATATCATATATTGACTTTGATTGAACATTTTTTACATTTGGAACTAAAAGACCATGGACTGTGTCCATTGCAATGCCTACATTATGGGCTCCCTGTTGGATACAAAAAACACTATTGAGAGTGACATTCACAGTGACCATAATTTTGCTCAGCAGTCCATTAACACCCATAAGTTTGATCCCTCTTCAATAAGGTAAAAATAAATAAAATACCTTGTAAACTATCTTTGTGCAGTCGGCATCCACTGAACTGTTGAGTATTGGAAACTGCTGCAGTGCCATTGATGCAGCTTTGATAAAAAAAGGCATGAAAGACAATTTGATACCACGAGCTTCTAGTACAGGCTTCAAATGCTTTCTTTGTCTGTTTAAAAAATGACAAATGAAAGAATAAATGGAAATCGGAATAAACTGATTGATGAAGAAATGGATGGATGAAGAAATACATGGATGAATGATCAGATGAATAAAGAAATGATTCAAATAATGAACAAATGCCAGAGAAAATGAATAAATGCCTCAAATGTGAAAATTATTACATAATTTATCAATTGACTTACTCTACAAGCTCATCCACTAATATTTCATCACAATATCCAAAATGYGGTATTGCTAATGCATCGGTCATAGCCTTGACCATCGCTTTTCTTATTCCTTTGATGTCTTCTACCTTATCAGGTGGCACCTCACCAGTAGCTATAAATACAGGAGGGGGAGGGGCGGTGGAAGGAGCCATAGGGGGAGGGGGAGGGGGAGGGGGAGGGGGAGGTGCTGGAGTATCTGGAGCTTTATCTGATTTCATTTCTTCTAAATAGTTTAAGACATCCTCTTTCAGAATTCTTCCATCTTTTCCTGTACCTTGAACTGCACTCAAATCAACCTTGGATGAACATTACTTTGATTGAATCATTTGATTTGATTATCAAACAAAAAAAGCTTATTTTCCACCTTTGTTTCTCACATTCATCTCTTTTTCTCTTTCCAAGTGCATTTCTCTTTCGTATTTCACATTATTCTGTTCTTTCTTTTCCAAAAAAAAAAAAAAAAAATGCTTGATGCCTACCTGATTGTCTTTTGCAATCTTTCTCACTGCAGGTGTAGTAAGAACTTTACCACCTTGTTGTCTTCCTGTATTAACAATGGATGCTGCTGTCACAGGTGCAGGGGGGACAACTTCTTGTTTGGGAATTTGAGGGGGAGGGGGTAGTGGCTGATCGATTGCTTGTGTTGGCTGAGGTTCCTGTTGCGCAGCCATTACATCTTCTGCAGGGCTTGTGTCATGCTCTGCATCTGAGGGAATTGAATGGACACTTTGTGATTATTTTCAGTCATTTATAATACTCGAATTATAAATTATAAATTATTATTATTTTGAATTTTGAATATATTACATGCTTTCAAGGTTAAGGCTGCATAAATAAGAACTCGAAACTGGAGTATTCTGAAGTCAACAATATTCTCATTCATTTTCAGATTTTCAGTAAGTTATTGATAGACTTATTAGTTTAAGGATTCAACTGTTTGTCTACCCACTCCACAAGCCATTTGTTCATACATTTATTAATATACCAATTTCTTAATTCACTCTTTTCATTCTTTATCAATCCATTCATTTGTCCATCCATCCAATCCATTCATTTATTTAATCATTTAGTCATTCAGTCAATTCAACTAACTTGATCCATCAGAGATAAGTTCAATGTCCACCAATGGCTGACCAACTCTAGCAATGTCGTCTACTTCGTAGTACAACTTTTTAATGATACCATCAAACCTACTGGTTATAGTAACAGAAGCCTGTAAAAAAAAAAACACAAACAAACAAAACAAAACAATTTCAGTAAGCAGCTTGCTACACTCACATAAAGATAGATGACAAGGCATTACATAGGAAATGAATGAAAAAAATGAATGAAATTGGCACCTTATCACTTTGAACTTCACATATACTTTCAAATTGATCCACTTTATCACCAGGTTGGACATACCTAGAAATATATTACAATACATCTCAAAAAACTGTTTTATCTGCTAGACAAAAAGAGTCCTTGAAAGAGAATTCATTCAGCAAAAAAATAAATAGCTTGAATTCTTTTTGATACCATTCTTTAAGAGTAACTTCAGCAATTCCTTCTCCAATGTCTGATAGCTTAAATGGCAAGACTTCTCCACAAGATACTATGAAAATAAACAGCAAATGACAGTTACAAAACCAACAATTGTATTTACATATACTAAATTGCTTCAAAAAACATCCCAAATTTGCAGTAATATTTCAAAAGCAATGTGTGCATAATGTACATTATTCCTGTCATTGTACACATGCCACATTGTCATGTAATGTTTGAATATATATTATTGATATATAATGTCAAAATAAAAGAATTTTTCTTCAAGACTGTTGTTTTTATAAATTTATTTATCGGCGCATACCATTCGATATTAATTCCAAACTCCAATCAAGATTAACTTAAGATTAATTATATTTAACTTGTATATTAATTAAGCAATACCTGTTGACGTTCTGAAATGACGTGATTTTACTCTGGAACAGGGTCAGGGTTTTGAGGTCCCGGCGGCACACCCCCACCCAAGTTTCGGGGGAGTACCCCCCCCCGGGGGCTAAGTTATATTAACTTAAGACTTAAGTTATATATTAATTAAGCAATACCTGTTGACGTTCTGAAATGACGTGATTTGTGTGGTATTCTTTTACTCACAAAATCCTGCACACGAACAAAACAATGAAAAAAACATAATTAAACAACAGATGACAACGATAACATTATGTTGTATCAAGTTTTACCTCAGACGTTCGATTCAGGGCACATGATATCTGGCGAATATTTCTCACGCATTTATACTGTTCAAAAATCAAAGAAGATAGATTTAGCACGCACAAATGATAGAATATTTATCACGCATGTTTGATAAAAAATTCTCACCTGGTTTCGTAGAAAACTTAATGTTGTATGATTGAAATTTCGTCTCATTAGAATCAGTCTGGCCGCCATTTTGGTCAACGTGTATTYTYAACGCATRATTTAATTTKTATAACCGCTGTCCAATTGTAAATTGAATTTGGTAAAAAGAAGCACTATAGTTCAAAACAGAGTCGATTTTTGTATGGTTTGTCAGGAAAATAAGTGATTATGAGTAATATTTATATTCAGGAACCCCCTACAAATGGCAAGGTAGGTATATGTATACATGTTGTTCATTTGATGGCAACAATTAAGCTTAATGATTGAATACTCTACAGACGTTTCTGTCTGTCACACGTAATTGACAGCTCTATAAAGGTGTGAAGGTTGATCAGCGAAGTGTTTTGGTTATTTTTTTTTCTTTTTTGAATTTCATATTCTCTTCTTTTCGGATTGATTTTGTGGATTCGATTGATTGGCGTGGATATGACTGACTTACAGCCTGATTGTTTGCATGATTGGTCGATTGACTAACTGATTGATTGACTGATTAATTGATTGGTTGATCTGACGAAGAGGGAGACCTAAAGAGACATGGAGAAGAACTATTTTAAAGGAGGCAAAAGAACTTGGAAAGTCTATGGAGGAGCTACAACATCTAGCAAAGGATAGGGAGAGGTGGAAATTCTTAGTAGCGGCCCTACATGCCACCAGGGCGTAATAGGAATGATGATGATGATCTGACTAAGTGATTGATTGTTCGACGGACTGTATGATTAATTGACTGTGTAATTGATTAAATGATTGATGGTATGATTGATTGATTGATTGATTAATTGATTGATTGATTGATCACTTGATTGATTGCTATATTTCTTTAGCAGTGAATTCATATTCTTTTTTCAGGTTTTACTGATAACAAGTGTTGGAGACATTGACATTGAATTATGGAGTAAAGAAGCACCAAAAGCTTGTAGGAATTTCATTCAACTTTGTCTAGAA